CAAATCATACAGATAACAAAAAAAATAGTAGCTGGGCTGTTCATAGATTTAAATATATAGCATTTGACACAATAGATCATGGTAAATTGATAGAAAAACTGGAATTATATGGCATAAGGGGGGTAGCTCTAAACTGGGTAAAGAGTTATTTAGCAGATCGATCTCAGTTTGTTCAATTAAATGATTACAGCTCATCATGTTTGGACATTCTGTGTGGTCCACCCCAAGGTTCTGTGTTGGGCCCCAATTTTTTATTTTATTTTATATATTAATGACTTATGTAAGGTATCACAGTTATTTAAATCAGTCTTATTTGCAGATGATACAAACTTATTTTGTGCTGGTGAAAATTTACAAGAGTTACTTTCAGAAATTGAGTCTGAAATGCTGAAATTAAAAACATGGTTTGATAGGAACAAATTATCTCTAAATTTGAGCAAAACAAAAGTAATATTATTTGGAAACCACAATGACAATAAGTAAATTCAGCTGCAAATACAGGGGATTAACATAGACAGTGTAAAGAAAAATACATTTCTAGGTGTTATTATTGATGAAAAACTTAACTGGAAAGAACACATACAATATATACAGACGAAAATTTCAAAAAACATAGCAGTATTAGGTAAGGTCAAATATTTTCTGGACAAGAAAGCTCTACATACACTTTATTGTTCCTTAGTTGCACCATATTTAACATACTGTGCTGAGATCTGGGGTAATAATTATAAAACAATATTGGAACCACTATTCACATTACAGAAAAGAGCACAACGGATAATTCATAACTTTGGGTTTTATGACCACACCAAGCAACTATTTATCTCTTCCAAAATTTTAAAAACTTAAGGATTTGATAATCTTCCAGACAGCAAAAATAATGTACAAGGCAGAAAGGAAGGAACTACCAAAAAATATTCAGAAACTTTTTAGGGAAAAGGAGACAACTTATAATTTAAGGTGAATTCAGTTGTACTTTTTAAAATGGTCAGAGTTCGTACAAAAAGAAAAGATTTTTGTACTTCAGTTTGTGGGGTAAATATCTGGAACTCTATGAGTGAGGACCTCAAAAAATGTCCAAATATGAAAATGTTTAAATATAAATATAAAGAAAAGGTGATAGCTAGGTATGCTCAAGAAGGAATTTTATTTTATTATTATCTGAATGCAAACGCTATATTTATGTTTGTATCAGGAGTAATGTGACACACTATATGAGTCTGGCAGAAGCACATTATTTGCTTTAGTGGAATTGTAAAAGGGGGTGGGGGTATATAAGCATTGCTTCTCCCCACTACTTTTTCAGAACATTTGATTTGATTTGATTTTTTTTTTTTTCTCTCTTTTCTTTTATTTCTATTTGTGGTTATTATAGTTGTGATGAGCAGTGTACAATAATAGTCTTTAGGTATCTGTTGATTATTGCATATGCAATTTGTCATTTACTGTGTGATCCATCCATCCATCCATCCATGTGTGATAAGGCAAATTATTATTTATGGAAACATCCGAAATAACCTTATCATCAAAACGGCCCCAGAGACGGAACAATCTGGTGCCGCCAGCTCCCACAAATTCATTTGAGTACGGATCTGATCTGGCACTGTGTGGACACCTGAAAACACTGATACACTGATACGCTGATATGCTGATGTAGGTCTATGCACCGCGAAGTAGCTGATTCACCACCAAAACACTAAGAGGTTAGAATATATTCAAATATATGGTCTATGAGTATGACCTGCATAATCTCTGAAAAGTTTAACATGAACCATCTCCAACACGATAAAAGCACAGAACAGACTCACCATCAGCAGAAGATCCCTCTGTCACAGAGAAAGAAAGAACACAGATAATACACTGAGTTGTGTCCTTTAGTCTGACAGAAGATGAACCGCATCAGCGCACAATAGCGAGCAGTTTTTTGAGAGCTCAGTTAATGCAGTGTTATGAGATATATATGTACTCCTATGTGCAATGTTTAGAGTGGTGAGCGGCGTGAGCGTGAGTGAGGGACTGCGTGCGCGCCCCCGGAGGCACGCGCTTTTGAATGGGCCCGCGGAGTGTACGGGTGTCTGTGTTTTTAGTTTTGCAATGTGTGAAATGAATGGTGAGGAGGCGACCGGATCATGTGCCATGTTATTTAGTGCAGTACGGCAAATAAAACCACGAGTCTTGAGCGAAGACCTGACTTGTTTACTTGAGCCCACGCACTCACTGGAGGTTCCGAACACGGGAGTTAAACCCCGAGGGACGAGCGGCTGCTGCGCCCCTTTGGCCCTGGAGACGAAGACGCTTCTCCCCTGTGTCCTCTGACCACGGTCCGAGGACCGAGACAGGAACGGTTTAACAGCAGATTAGCCATGTGGTTTTAAGATTTGTTTCTGTAAAACGTAAACAAATATCCTCAAAGCTGTGTGAATAGGGAAGGCTTGCGGACACAGATACGAAGTGTCTGGATGCAGATGGTTTCTGATACGGTGATACGTGGATTTGTTTCAGTGTAAACGGGGTCTAAAATTCCCAAATCTCAGAATTGATACTTTGCAGCTACATATGAAGAAATGTTTCTGTAGTTTCCAGAGTTTGAAGGTCCATTTTGTTCCTTTGGCTCTGGGTTCACTGCTATCGTCTAGAATCTGCCATGTCATGTTCAAAGCTTTATGACTCACGCATTTTTTGTGTAAGGGTGAAACGGGAGGACATTCTGTTCATTTGCAGATGGCAGCTCTCGTAGACAAACACAAACAGAGAAGGAGAAGATTTCAACTCAAAGCACTTGTAGGTGAACACTAACAGACACAGCCTAAACCTACTGTTTAAAATGGGAAAAAGAAACCGAAACCGGCTGGTTCATAACAACTAAGAGTCCAAAGTGTTTCTTGAGACTGTCGGCCGTGGTCCCCAAGGCCCCAAGAAAATAATAGTGAACCCAGAGCCAAAGGAACAAAGTGGACCTTCAAACTATGGGATCAAACTCTATAGAAAAAAAATGCTGTTGACCAAAGCAGGAGACAGATTTTGGTTTGAAATTCCAGATGAGGATTCTGATGACGAGATCTACTTTGGACAACTACGAGTCCAAACAGTCTCCTGAAACTGTCGGCCGTGGTCCCTCTACCACAGACAAGGCCGTGGCTTTTCAGGGACAGACACTAAAGACGTTATCTCACCCGGCTGGAGTGAAAGTAGTGAAACCACAGCGTTCCGCTACCAGGGCTGGAGACCTCTCTTCAGACACCCACAGCTCCAGGATCACTGTGGACGGAGACCAGGGACCTCTCAAGTCCTCACAGGGGTCTTCAACAAAGGCAGCCTATTGCTGCTGGTTTGAGATGCAGGAGATCCCACACAACAAACCAGAAGTAAACATCTTGTTTGGAGAAGTCGACTGGTCACTTTTCAGTGCTTTTGAGAGTAAATGCTCAACAAGACACAAATTCTTTGGTTTTATAACTTTTGCCATGTTTTTGCCAAAGTGTAGAGCCTCTAAGGTAGGAGACTGTTTGGAGTTGCCTTATGATGTTCCAGATGTCGACATCTGCTTTGGAGTGGTTGAGCACCTGGGTCAAACACTAAAGATTAAAAAAAAAAATTGATAGAGGAATAATTTTACCAGATTATGAATAAGAGAGTCATAATATGTGGAGATATTAATATTGATCTGTTAAATCCAAACAAGCTTCAAGTAATTGAGGAGTTCATAAACACCATGTTTAGTTTAAATTTATTCCCAAAGATAACTAGACCTTCTAGAATTACCACTCATTGTTCCACTCTTATTGACAATATATTTACTAATGACATGGATAATGATTCATCTAGCGGTCTTTTCATAAATGACAGTGACCATTAACCCGTTTTTACTGTAAAAGAAAAAAGGCACAGAGCAAAAAAATATATCGGAGACTGAAATCAGAAAGAACCATCATATCCTTTAAAAATGAGTTACTTGAACAGGATTGGAGTGATATCTCTCAAAATCATGACATCGATAAAGTATATGATAATTAAAAAAATAAATATATCACCCTATATAACAAGCAGTCAGACAGTGCACAAAGAAAGATAATTATAAAGAACAACCATGGGTAACTAAGGACATCCAGATGGCTTGCAAAAAGAAAAATATGCTGTATAAAATATTCATTAAAAAGAAACAAAAAGACGCTGAAATAAAATATAAAATGTACAAAATTAACAAGTATAATATGGGCTTGTAAGAAAGAATACTTCGCAAAGCAGTTAGAACTGAACAGAAATAACGTAAAGGGAATTTGGAAATCATTAAATGAAATTTTAAGTAACAAACCTAAAGCTAATAACTACTGTAATGTTGCGACCGAGAACCCTTATTTACTCACAGAATCCGTTCTGGCATAAAAAAGGACAAGGGCAATGTGGTATAAAAGTTACACCTCTTTAATCCTCTAAACATTTAAAAAATAATATTTCATTTTCTGGTTGCCTTCTTGATACACCACTCAATTGTCATAAATGTAGGACTCAACCCCACCCCAAACTAAAACACAACAAATCAAATTAATAATTCAAACCAAACGTTAATACCAAAAAAACACTAGTTGAACCCTACATTTACAATAAATTAAAGTGCGGGTGCGCTGTAAACCTGGATAATGTAATAATATTTAAAGTGCGTGTGCCAAGGTATCTGAGGTAGGCTAGACAATAAAAGGGCATAAAATTCAAGCTGGTGAAAGTGCTCGTGCCAAGGAGGCCTATTTGGGTGAAAGTGACTTGTGCCAGCCCTGAGACCTAACCTTGCCTTGCACTGACCCCCTGACCAAATATTGCACTTCCCTCCAAGACCTAGGCTACTGTTAAGCAATATTCAATTAAAACCAACACTAAGGATAAGATAAAGAATAAAGAGCAAGAATAATGCAGCAGTGGCAATCTGTTACACAGGGAAAAATAAATTAACTTCAAGTAGACCATTAGCGACCACTACCCCAGATACACAACAAAAGAGCATTTACCGCAAATTTAGAAGGGGGAGGGGGGCACTCTACATGGGGCTCAGAGCGCGCTACGAGCGGCCGCCGGCACCACCGCCTACTCCAGATAACCTTCAAAATGCAGTCAAACATATCGCATTAAAGCACATTCTATAAGAAATATTAAAACAACAACTCCAGTACTTACACGCGCTGCCTTCAAAAGCCACTGAAAGCCCCGACTGCCACACCACGGCGTGCGCAGCCTTTTCTAATCGCGCAATCAGTGACGCCAGGAGCCACGCGCAGCGACGCACAGGTGGACGCAGTCACGGACGCAACACAGTAGGACAACATAGTCTAATCACCCGGTTACACTACCCTAAATATTTTTCTCATGACAATAAGGATGTAAATAATATGTATGAGGTAGCAGATGATTTTAACCATTTCTTTGCTAACATTGGCCCAGAATTGGCTGGAAAAAAAAATCATTACCATGTACAGTGGAAAGTGAACAGTTAATACAAAGAAATCCAAATTCTTGATTCCTTAATTATCAAGTCCTCGTATATCTCTGCACCTCAGCTTTACAGGAGCAGTGCATGTCTCCACTCTCTGAAAGATAATTTAAAGTGGTAATTAAAATCCAAAGTAACAGACTATAATGACAAGTTGAAACATTTGTTATTGTATAAATTATAGTCTGACACTGTAAGACCAACTATTATTGTTGAAGTTAATCTGTAGAATTCTTCAATAATAAATTGATAGCTGCCAAATCAAAAGACTAAAACAAAAAGACTGCATCAGGATAAGTGCATTGTACGTATACTGTTTAGTGTGAAATAACTGAAATCCAACAATGAACCAGAAGAAATAGAAGTGTAAAATTCCTGGTTATTTTTACATTGACTGACAGGAGTTGGTACAAGTGAGTTGTTTGTGATGTTGCTCCAGATGTGTTTAGCACGTTTAGCACATTCACAGTCTCCTAGTTTCTTCCTGTTTTTCTGTAAATTAGCCTCTGAAATAAATACAGATGTTTACTACTCTGCAACTCCACTCTCAAAACCAAAGTTTCTTTCGTGGCTTTTAGTATTTGTATTTTAAACGTCCTGTAGTACGCTAAATTGTTTCTTGTGAGCTTTAAGCCATGTTATAATGTTGTTACCTTCCTCAAAAACATACTGGAGTTGTGTTTTTGTTTCATTCATTCAGTAGAGTTGAAATCCAAATCCGAATGATTCTAGTGAAGGTGTATGGACTTTAAAAACACAGGGGAGTGTTTTCTGTTTGATAGAACAACTCAACCTAAACAGAGTTTGTGTGTTAAACGTGTGAATGAAACAAAACATTATAGATCAGACAAAACTGTAATATATGCGAACTTTGACAATAATGAGTAACTTCTTCTTGCCCTAAATTATAACTTCACTACTTAATGCTTTTCCTTAAAACTCTCATTTTGGGACTGATGTTGTTTGGGACTCATGTTTGGGACTCAAATTTGGAGTCATATTTGGGAGTGATGTTTGGGACTCGTGTTTGGGAGTCATGTTTGGGATTTATGTTTGGGACTCATTTGGGACTCACCTTTGAGCTCATATTTGGGACATATATTTGGGAGACATGTCCATCCATCCATCCATTTTCGTCCGCTTATCCGGGGCCGGGTCGCGGGGGCAGCAGCCTAAGCAGGGACTCCCAGACTTCCTTCACCCCAGACATGTCCTCCAGCTCCTCCGAGGGAACCCCGAGGCGTTCCCAGGCCAGCCGAGAGACATAGTCCCTCCAGCGTGTCTTGGGTCTTCCCCGGGGCCTCCTCCCGGCGGGACATGCCCAGAACACCTCCCGAGGGAGACGCCCAGGAGGCATCCGGAACAGATGCCCGAGCCACCTCAACTGGCTCCTCTCGACGTGGAGGAGCAGCGGCTCTACTCCGAGCTCCTCCCGCGTGACTGAGCTCCTCACCCTATCTCTACGGGAGCGCCCAGCCACCCTGCGAAGGAAACTCATTTCGAGCGCTTGTATCCGCGACATGGGAGACATGTTTGGGACTCATATTAGGGACTCATATTTGGGCTCATATTTTGGACTCATGTCTGGGTCTCATGTTTAGGAGTCATATTTGGGACTCATGTTTGGGAGTCATGTTTGGGAGTCATGTTTGGGAGTCATGTTTGGGAGTCATGTTTGGGAATCATGTTTGGGACATGTTTGGGAGTCATGTTTGGGAGTCATGTTTGGGAGTCATGTTTGGGAGTCATGTTTGGGAGTCATGTTTGGGAGTCATGTTTGGGACATCATGTTTGGGAGTCATGTTTGGGAATGTTTGGGAGTCATGTTTTCATGGGAGTCATGTTTGGGATCATGGGAATGCATGTTTGGGACTCATGGTTGGGAATCATGGTTGGGAGTCATATTTGGGAGTCATGTTTGGGCTCATATTTGGGACTCAAATTTGGAGTCATATGCGGAAGTCATGTTTGAAACTCATATTTAGAGTTCATGTTTTGGACTCATGTTTGGGACTCATGTTTGAGATTCATGTTTGGGACTCAAATTTGGAGTCATATTTGGGAGTCATGTTTGGGTCTGGCTCTCCTCTGCATCGCCGCGGAGCTGTAGTTGTACTGTGGTGCACCTGGCCCAGGCACCTCCGCTCTGCATTCATCCGACATATGTAGCGCTGGTGGCGAGCTTTGTGCTGATGTGGTCCCACTGTAGACAAACGCAGGGGTCAGTCTGCTCAAAACAGGGTCAACATCTCCCCTGTGGTGCTTTGGTGTGGGCTACCGACTGAGATCACAGCAACATACAACCAATGTGAAAAACACAAGAGGACTCCAAAGTGGAAAAGATGTAGCGCTGTAGCTGCTTTTCTCCCCAGGGACTGCATATAGTACAGAAGACTTTTGGAGGAGCAATATTTTATGTACGACCCCAGTTCACATAACGACTGGGATGTTGTGTAAAGTGCAATAAATAATAAAATACAGTGATTTGGATATCAAACATACACATTTTATTTAGGGCATACAGTAGACATCAAAGTTGTAAGCTTTGTTTGTTGCCAGTCCTCCTTGCCAGTGCCTGATGTCGTCTGATCTCTGAAGCCAAGCTGGGTTGAGTTTTGTTAGCACTTGGATGAGAGACCTTTGGGAATACCAGGTGCCACAGTAGGGCAGCAGAAACTTTAATGCATAATATCATTGTGTCCTTGGGCAAGACATTACACACACCTTGCTCACATTGAGTGTCAGTGGTGGTCAGAGGGGTTAATGGGGCAGATTGGTACACCTGCACGCTAAATGATGTATCAACTTATCCTTCAAAATATGAAGATTATATTATGTGTACTTTTTCTTTGCACTACTGGTAATTTTTTGTTATTTTTTGTCTATATGATAAAATATAAGCCATGAAAGTTTAAATATATAATGTCTATGACTCATTGCAGATGCAAACTAAGTACTAAAGTAGTATTTTAAATGATGTTGTACATTTAAAATGGTTTTGTGGTTTAACCCTTCCAGACCGATGGTGGACATGTTTTACATAATCGCGTGTAACTTTCCAACCATAAAAGATATGGTATTACCCTACGTCACACCCACACTGTGATGACGTAGGGAAAACAAGTGTCCAATAGGAACTTTGTTTTCCACCTAACACATGCGCTCCATCCATCTTCTTTGGCCCAAACCTTGCCAAAGAGACTCACATCACTTCCATGCATTTCTATGGCGTATATTACATTTATATTTGTACATTTTGAGTGAAATAAACCTTTCAAATAAAAGCAAGGGACGCGCAATTACGCAGACCAAGATGTGTAATTTGCCATTTATTTGAGGAATAACTGCACATAGACTGGATTTTTCAATTGTTACGGACATGGACGTTCAGAAGAATCAACCATCTTGACTCACTATGACTCATAGTAATGGAGCGATGGCACTTTTTTTTTTCTTTTGAGGGCAATAATGATGTTTTTTACTTTACTTATGGACTTTTTATTTTGCACTTTTGTAGCTAAAGCCCTAAATTAAACATGTTTTATGTCCAACTCCAGTGAATTTTATTTATTTTATTATTTTTTTTTTTTTCATTTGTATTTCTGGTCCTGTAGCTTTTATTAGAGCCATATGACAATTACAACATGCAGATAATAAAATAACAGCTTGTACTGAAAAAAAAAAAAAAAAGGTGTAAAAAGATGTACAACACTTCATTAGGTGGGTAAAAGGGGGAGTTTTAATAGCAAAATTATTGCCCTTAGGTCTGGAAGGGTTAAATCAGTTCTTGGGTTTGCTAGTGAGCAGTAGAAACTGTCAGGTCTGAAAACAAACTAAACTTTGGTATGAAAAAAATAATCTATGAAAATAAAAAGTAAGTAATTACTATACCTGAACCATTCTTAATAAACTATACTATTTGTTCATTCTACATTAAGCCTCCGTTCATGCTTTAAAAAGGTTAATTAGGTGCAGTTAGTATAAAGTGTTGAATGTACTGCATCCTACTCCATTGTTTGTAATTCACATTGTACTTTATGCAGCGCGGCACATAGCCTCAGTGCCCTTTTTTGTGTGAGTGTAGTTGGACCCTGACCTTTAACTGTCAGCGAGGAGGAGAAAAAAACATGTGTAGTCCCCAGATGCTTTGACACAGCCATGTCCAGGGGGCGCTGTGATGGCTGCAGGGCCTGTGGGAGCCAGCAGGGGGCAGGGCGAGGGGGCTCCAGATGTGTGAACGCCCCACAGCAATGCACCAACCCTGGCCCGGGATGACATGACCTTCCCCCAGGGTGGACAATGCTGCAATCGGGCTGCAAAGGGCCCACTGGTGGCTCTGGTCCCTGTCTGGATGTGTGGATGTGTGTTTATTGCCCAACATAAATCTTGTTTTCGGTCACTTGTGGGGACTTATGGAGACAAAATGCAGGTGACCGGAGCGTAATTCACACTTTTCAAGCGTTTAGTTTTCGTTTGAACCAGAGCTTGTGCCGGTGGTATGGATTTTTTGGGGCTGAGTGACCATGTGATTTACCCTTGTTGACAATAAGGGAGAGTTCTTGTCTGGCGCTCCTCTCGAGTGGGGACTAAACTTTACGATCTCTCCACATCGGCGTTTTATTGGAGAGATATCATAGTTTTCTGTTTCGTTCTTGTTTATAGTGGTCCAATCCTCTTAACTGCAATTAACTACCCCGTCTTTTTTTACTGGCATT